GGGCTATGACATTTTTCAGTCATTACCTCATGCTGGGACCTCCTTTTCCTTTGTCTCTCCCGATGTGTCATGGTCTTGCCTCTGCTCCCTTGGACCTCTTGGCTACAGTGTTCTCAGCTGGTAGGCGGGAGTGGGTGGGAGTCAGATTGTATGACCACTTCTCTACCCTTCCCAAGACAAGAGCCTGGGTTTGTCACGCTGCAATCTCTTGACATCCCTCAGAAAACACAATGCTAACAAGTATACCAGCAGCCGAAAGTATCCATTTAAACAGGCTGGAGGAGCCCGGCCGCACTTCTGGGCTAGGCGGGAAGTCAGGCAGCCTTCTGAACTCGTAACTGAAATGACACTTTCCACACAGTCTGTAGCTCTAGATGGCCAGTCCCCTGGCTGTTGTACACCTGACCACATCTACTCTTAAAGGAAATACAACCCTCAAAGTGTGAGCAGTCTTTGACTCGAGGACCCTCTGCCTGGGGTCAAACATTCTTCCATGTAGCTGTCTACTTGAGAATCAGAAGGCCTCTGAGCTTGAACGAAACAGAACACTTGCTTCATGATCCCACACCACTTCCAACCTACCGCGTGTGACTCTTCTGGGAGTTCTGTGTTGGAAAATGGCTGATCTTCACCGATTTGCTCAGTCAGAAAGGAGGAAGAAGAAGGTGATTCATTGGTCTCTCTTGCCCTTTCTTTCACCTTTCACATCTACTTCAGATATGTTCTCTTCTCCCAGGCATCCAATTGTTTCCAGACATCTGGCTTTCACCATGTGGTCCACGCCACTGCTAGCTCTTCACAACTGACATCACCAACCAGCCTCCCTACTTCCGTTCTTGCCCCGGCCCGGTCCATTACCACCAAGTAGCCAGGGTGACCAGTCGCCCCACTCCCGAGCCTAAAACCCCACAGCCACTTCCCTCTGCTCCCAGAAAAGAACAAAAGGCTGCTCCTCATGCCCACCTGGTAAACCACTTCCAAGGTCACTGAGTTGCAGACTCTCTGACCTCGTGTCTCTTCCTCACAAGTGCAAATGAGCTTGTACTCAGGCCTGTACACTTGGTTGTCTTTCCCGGGGAAGACTGCCCTTGAATTCTTACCATGGAGGCCCCACTTCTTAGTGAAATCCCATTGGCATTGTCTATGCAGCCCCTTTCTTTCCATCAAGTACTCCATATCACGGTAAAGTGTCTCCAGTGTTGATATGCTCACTTTTAAAAAGATTTGTTGTACGTGTATGCATGTGTGAATGCACACTACCTGTGTGCAGTGCCTGCAGGGGCAGTAAGATGGTGCTAGATCCCCAGAAACTGGAGTTGAGGATGGTTGTGATCCACCATACAGGTTCTGGGAACTGAACCAGATTCCTCTCTGAGAGCAGCAAGTGCCCTTAACAGCAGAGTCCTCATCATGTTCTCTCTCTCTCTCTCTCTCTCTCTCTCTCTCTCTCTCTCTCTCTCTCTCTCTCTTTCTTATCTTCATCCAGAATATGTTGTTCGTTGCTGGATCTCTGATGAATGTTCCAAAAAATGAATAGCACATGAAGTAAAGGGCCTCCTAGTCTGGAGCGTGTGGTCAGCCCGATGGAGTAAATTACTCACTAGCCACCTCCTGTGCACAAGTGTCCACAGGTGCTTTGCTCAAGTGTTACACAAGCCCTACTTCCTGCCCTTAGTCCTCTTAACCATTCTATAAATAACTGCCTTTCTCTCGTGTTCTAGTTCATCCTCTTCCTGACCCTTGTACTATCAAATTTCTCATTTCTTTGACCCTTTCTTCCCCCGACTTTTGTTTATAACCTAAGTAATTTCTTCAGATTAATCTTGATTCCCTGGTCTTCACTTCACTATCTCTACTTGTACTCAACCATTGCTTTGAATTTTAATATTTTTGTTATTTTATATACTCTAATATACAATTACATTTTACAATATAGTGTTTTTATGTAATTGCTATTTTCTTTTTCTCCGTTCTTCCTAATACTCTTATCATTTTTAGGTTTTAAACTTTTGTATTTCTTTGAACACTTTCTTATTGATCATCTTTTGTTGTGGTTTCTGTTCACTGTTGCTCATGATGTCTCATTTCCTGGTGTAGTGATGCTGTACTTGTTAGGTTTCTATAAAGCCTATGTGAACATCCCTCTGGAAAAGTTCGGCTTCTGCCTGTATCCTGGGATGCTACCAACCTGGTACTAGTTAAGTTAGCTTTCTAGTTAATGTTTCTCAGCTCATATAGGGAGTATAATTTCAAACCCTAAACCTATGTGAAGGGGAGTCTGTGGTTTTAACACCTTGAGTCTAGGTCTAGACACACAAGTTTATTTGCCTCCAAGGACAAGCGGACAGGTTTTGGTTTGTGTCCATTTTATTTTTGCTATAGTCTACCCTTTCACTGGGTGTATATTCCTTTGTGGCCTCACTTTTAGGCAGAAGTATCTGTTCTCCATCTTTTGAAGGTGTTAAGCCTTGTCTCCTGTCCTCCACAAGGTTCTCAAAACCACACTTCCGTATAAACATGATAGACGGACGTTCTTAAACAGCATGTGCTTCATCTCTGGTTTCCAGATGCCAGGGTGTGTGTGTGTGTGTGTGTGTGTGTGTGTGTGTGTGTGTGTGAGAGAGAGAGAGAGAGAGAGAGAGAGAACTTCTCTTTAAGGGTTTGCAATGCATTTGAAAATGCATTGTTAAATTTTAGTATTAATTAGTGATCAATCTCTTGAGTGACTCATCAGTTGAAGCGATATGTTACTGACATCATGGCTTTGGCACTTAGGGTTGTATTTCTGTATGGCTCTCAAACACTTTTATGGCTATTGATTCACCTTATCAGCACATCCACCTCCAGAAGGAGACAGGGCAGGTGTCTGGCCTTCATGATAAATGTGACCCTCACCATGGTGTTTGTTCCTGACTGATCTCTTCAGTTCCAGACACATCATCTGTCATCTGAGAATCAGGGTGTGGCATCCATGTCTCTGTGTGTTCATCGTCTCACATTTAGCTGCACTCAACACTCAGACCGGGGTCCCTGCCCCTGTCCTGTGATGTCATCAGCACTCATCGGGGTCCCTGTCCTGTGATGTCATCAGCACTCAGACCGGGATCCCTGCCCCTGTCCTGTGATGTCATCAGCACTCATCGGGGTCCCTGCCCCTGTCCTGTGATGTCATCAGCACTCAGACCGGGCCCCTGTCCTGTGATGTCATCAGCACTCATCAGGGTCCCTGTCCCTGTCCTGTGATGTCATCAGCACTCATCGGGGTCCCTGTCCTGTGATGTCATCAGCACTCAGACCGGGTCCCTGTCCTTGTGATGTCATCAGCACTCATCAGGGTCCCTGCCCCTGTCCTGTGATGTCATCACACTTTGTCAGTCTTCCTCATTGGACTGTAGGCTCCCCAAGAGCAGTTCTCCTTTTTTCACCTGCTGAATTTCTCTAGCATATCCCATACGCTCCACATGTGGAAGACACTCAACACTCATCTAATAGATGATACATGAATGACTTGGGCTAAAAGCAGTAGTGAACGTGAGAAGCAAGGGTGGTGTTAGAGAGTCGGCAGTAAAGACCCAAGAGCAGAAGCAGGAGGAAGAAGTAACAGTGAGCCCGAGAGATGATTCCGCCTGCAAAGGGGCATTCATTGACCAGGGTAAGACACGTGTGGTCATGAAGGATTTTACGAATCAAAGAGGGGGCCAGCAGGATGGCTCAGTGGGTAAAGGCACTTGTCAACAACCTGGTGACCTGGGCTTGATCCCTGAAACTCACATATTAGAGAGAACTGACCCCACAGGTGTCCTCTGACCTCCGCGTGTGTACTTCGGCGTGTGGCCCAACTCCATCAATAAATAAGCATGTAATAAAATTTTTAGAGGAACCAGAGAGCTTCCCCAGTGACTCTAATTGCTATGACTTTCCATTTATTTAGTCCAATTTTATTTTCAGAGATAACAGAGAATGAACTTCAGCCTTGGTTTTGCCAAAAGTCCACAAGCCCCTGAGAGCTGAGGTAGCTCCTCAGTGGAGGTATTTTACTGGTAAGGTCCACACCAGTGAAGGTGCCTGGGCCTTCTGCGGTGGTAGCTCCGAGCAGCTATGTACATTTCTGAACTGGCCCCGCCCCTGGGACAAGCTTGTCTAACCCCCTCTCCACAACTTCTTTTTCTTTTTTCCCCTTGCTCAGGCTCCGCTTCAGCACATCCGCCATGGACCACAAGCCTCAGGCCAGTGTGGTGCGGTCCTCTCTTTTGTCCAGAACCTAACAGTATGGGGTTATATTTGGCCCTAAGAACCATGTGGTTAGATGGGCAACCCAAAGTGTACAAAAGCAAGCTGTGCCTACCCTGCCTTTAAAGAGATCCTGTAGTTCTTAAATTAAAACTTGGATCCTCAGCTGGGGATCTAGCTCAGTGGGAGAACGCTTGGCCTGGGTGCACAAGATACTGGATTCATTTCCTAGTGCTGCAAACTAGATTTCACACATAGAGACTTAGATCTTTGGTGCAGGTAGCAGCTTTGAGGACAACAGGAAGGAGTGCCGAGTGCGCATCCCCGTGGGGGCAGCCGGCAGCTGTAGCTCCTCTCAGTTCTGAAGTGTCTCCTCGCCCAGCTATGAAAATGACCTAATCATGTACAGCAACAGCACGTGTACAGGGAAATAATACAGTAATACAAATATTCAAACCCAATTGGAAAAGCCAAGAAGGAAGGAGCCAGAAGACATTAGATCATTGCCACTGCAACCTGGCCAAGACGGCATCTGGGCGCACATCCTCTGTCCAGCCTTTGTTCACACACCATCCCTCATGCTTCATTGCATGTCTAGAACAATAGCTCATCTACACACAACCCTTTGTGTGCCTGCGCTTTGAGGAACAAGGTCTCTCACAGTGTCCCTTGAGAAGAAGCGGGGACTTCCCCCCTAGGAATGCTTTACTAGGCTTCCGGGTCAGCAGGGGCCTTCTCCCTCTGAAGGGGTGGGTGGAGGAGGGATGTACCTTTGGCCAGCGTGGGTCTTTTCATCGTGTGACCAGGGCAAGCTGTGCCCCTGTTCCTTCCTCACTGGGTCATTCCCACTTGAGTTCTGAAAACAACAACAATTGAGTGAACAAAGACCCTTCCTGACTGAACTTTGGATCCCACTTTGGGTTTGGACCAGGAAGTGGGGGAGGTTTCCATTCCTCCCACTCTGCCTGAGTCTGCAGAATCCCTCCTGGCTCATTCTTAGCAGTGTTTCCCCACTGGGCAAGCCCAAGCCCAGCCTGAGTGGGACCTCATTCTGTCACCACAGACGCTTGGACAGGATAGGCGCCCATATAAAGCTTCAGGCGCTGGATCCTGGGTGTGTTAACAACAACACTAACACTGTCTGTCTCCTGGGTATGTGAACAGGCTGTGTTTAAAAGCGTTTCTCCCACACCCAGCACTGGGCCCAGCCCTCCAGAAAGAGGAACTCTCCTAGATGTCAACTGACAGTGGCCCTTCAGCATTCCACTCTGACCTCCAATGGGATAACTCCAGCCCCCCAAGTTCAGTGAGGAAGTGGCCAAGGACCACGGAGGAGAGCATGTTGTGACTGAGATGGGCAGAATGGCGTTTACTTGGCGAAACTCCTCTCCTTCAGCTAGAGGGCACTCGACTTTCTGATAACCACTGTGCAGTCCCCAGTGGCTGGAGAATTTCATCATTTATTAGAACATGTGAAACCATAAATAATACTACGACTAGAGAAAATATTAATAATGGGTCTGGGGAGATGGCTCACAGTTAAGAACAGTCACTGCTCTTCCGGGGGACCTGGGTTGGATTCCCAGCACTCACGTGGCAGCTCACAACTATCTGTAACTCCAATTCCAGGGGGTCTGATTCCTTCTTCTGGCTTCTGTGGGTATCAGGTATACATGCAGGCAAAATATCCATACACATAAATTAAAAAATAAATCTTTAAAATAATAGTAGTAGAAGCAATAATAATGATGATGATGATGATGATGCTATAAAACCTGAGGCTTTGTGGGGAGCAGAGGGTACCTAATGGAGGACCCAGCCCATCTTTTGCAGCTGCACCCAGGAACTAGCCAAGAAGGACTCATCACACAGGCTCAAGTGATCAGAGTAAAGCAAAAGCTAGAACGGTCCTGGATTCAAATCTCTCCTCTTGCCTTTCCTAATTTGTTGGTTTGGGCAAGTTGCTAACCTTTCTGAGGCTGGAGGTTTTCATTTGTGAGGTGTGACTGATAGTGATGTCACTTTGATAAGGTGACATGGATGAAATATAGTGCAGAGGATGCTGTGGTAACGACTTAGATGAGACAGCTCTGAGTGGCTTGGCCCCAACAGATCTCAAGCACGTGCATACAGACACACAGACACACAGACACACACACGCACACGCACACGCACATGCACACAGAGGACTTGTAGTACCTGGCAGGAGTGCCTGGGACCTGACCGGCTCTAGGGTTCCACAAGGCCAAGGACAGGGCCCCAGACTCTGCATGCTGCCAGCACCAGCAGATGACAGCTGGCGGGCAGAGCCAGTGCCGGGCATTGGCCATTGTCTCCCTGGAGGTCTAGGCCAATCTGGTGGCTTCACTGGGCTTCAAACTGGGCCCTGCTTAAATGTTGTAGCCAAGTTTCTAATGATCTAAAACTATTGGTTTGGGAAGAAGAAAAAAGTGGGGCTGTGTGAGGGGGTACCCAAGCATATGTCTGTCTGCACCGTTGCCATGGGATTCTATTCAGATCTGCACAGATGGAGTGTCTTTTTATTTAAAACAAACAACAACAACAAGAAATTCCCACAGGTCTTTGAAATTCTCTGCTTGCAAAGATTGCACTGTGTGTGTGTGTGTGTGTGTGTGTGTGTGTGTGTGTGTGTGTGTGTGTGTGTTGCAGTGTTGCTATGGCAATGCATATGGTTTTGTTTGGTGGAATATGCAGAGAAAGTCATATGTATGCACGGCAAAACAAATGGGCCCTTTCAGAAACCAGGCTTCTGAATAAAGCTCATTCGGATTCCTTGATAATGACTCAAAATGGAGAACACGGTGCAAGGACGCCGCTCAGCCGCGCCCTCCTGAGGAGGCACAGGCGGCAGGGGTTGATGAGAAAATGGGTCACTTACCTGCTGAGTCACCTCTGGCAAGTGCTGGGCTGTGGGGGGCCTTTGCTTCCCTCCTACCGGAAACAGGAAGCAAGGACCCTTCCTGCCTGACTCTGCTGCTGTCGGAATGGAAGCAGGATGACACAGGAAGTGCTCAGTCGGTGGTCAGCCTCGTTCTGGAGCGGTGGTTAGCACCCCCAGCTCTGCTGCAAGGATTAGCATGGTGTTGTTAAAAATGTACCCTGGCCTTGGCCAGACTGTGCCTGGAGCCAAGGACCTTGGGGATGGCCACCCTGTGGACTGCTATGATCAGACCGGATGATCACAGAAGAGCCCAGACTATTGACCACCAAGGGAACTAGAATTGTCTTCTTGGAACAGTGGGTATTGGGTCACCAAGATAAGGGTGCGTGGCAGGCTGGTGTGCTGTGGGCTTTCCACACCTGGCTCTGAGAACCTTCCACCCTAGCACTTTGCCAGAAGCAGTATATCCTCCTAGGCCAGCACATGGGAGGGCAGAGATGCATCCTCAAAGTGCTCATACCTGTCACCCACCCTGAAGGAGCACTTCTGGGCAACTACATACTTAGTATAATTACAATACTGTTAAATCGTGATCTCCCTCCCTCCCCTCCCCTCCCCTCCTCTCCTTTTCTTTCAACACAAAGCTTCACATAGCCCCAGCCGGCCACAGACTGTGCAGCCCCGTGTGATAGCCCTGAACTCTTTGATTCTTCAGCTTCCACCTCCCAAGTGCTGGGGTTACAGGTGTGTGTCATCCTGCGCAGCAGTTAAGCCTGTGTTTTGTAGTTCGCTCCCTTGGACTAAAGTCTGGCAGGGAAGTACTCTGCATATGCTTTGTGTAGTTTGCATTGCTTAAAGGATTCGCAGACCCGCTGGGATGCTGTCTGCCCATCTAGTGCGTCCACTGGAGATTATCAAAACCTTTTGGGAGTTTGTGTTGATTGAGTGAGTGGCTCTATCCAGGACTGTCTTCTTCTGATCTGGACCAGATGTCTTCCGAGGTTGTTCTAGACCTGTTATTGGCAGTCTGGCATTCACTAATCAGTCTTGAATAAAAGACAAGCAGTCTTTTTTTGTATTCTTGATGGTTGCAGTTTTAACTTACCTAAGAAACCATGAGGAAGGCCTATATTCCTGTATTCCTGTACACCCATTCGCACCAGTATTCGAGCTTCTTTTGGTCCTATGAAGGAGCCTCAGGAGGAAGTGTCTAGGAAAGCATCAGTCCCCTCCTCTCCTGTGTGCTTGACTTCTTTGTCTCACGCCTAGACTTCGGAATTAAGCAAGCTGGTCCTTCCCATCTGTGGGTGTGTATAGTGCACTGACAGAAAGTACTTCAACACGTGCTCTGCCTTTCTGGCTACGTATTTTAATATGAGCTGAGTCACCCTTTAAAAATCAACAGGGCCTGAGAGATGGCCCAGAGGATAAAGGCGTCTGTAACCAAGCCTAATCAGAGTTCAATTCCTAGGATCCACAGGGTAGAAGAAGAGAGAGCCAGCTCTGACAAGTTGTCCTCTGATTGCTACAAGTACACCATGGTGTGAGCACACCTGTGTGTGTGTGTGTGTGTGTGTGTGTGTGTGTGTGTGTGTGTGCGCGTGCGTGCGCGTACGTGCACAAGCAAACAAGTAAAATCTAATACAAACAATTTAAAAATTGACAAACAGCAAAAAGGGTAGGTGGCAGGAATCTAGGCAATTTTATTTTTGAACTGCAAGCTACATAAATTGCCATCATTCTGTGCATATTACAAAGGCCTTTTTTTCTTGGCAAAATGGTCAAGGTGTGTGTTCAGATGAGGATATACTGTGTAAATCTGTAAACATAAATGTTAAATGTACTGTTTACATATTTATAACATAATGGTATGCTCTTATGTATATGCTTATACATACAATAGCATATGCTTATATTCTTGCTAATCCTAATCTTCAAATGACTGCCATAAATGCCACTAGTCCCCTCTTCCATGTGAATATTGCCTCCATATTTAGAAAACCAGTAAGCTTACCTAGCAAATGATGTTAGCTGTGCTCCATGAGAACATTAATAACGTCTTTTGGTTTTGTTTTGTTTTGAGATGATCTTAAGTAGCCCAGGATGACCCTGAACTTGCTCTGTAGTTGAGGATGACCTGGAACGTCTTCAGATCCCCCAACACCTCCACCTCCCAAATGCTAATACTGCAGAATGAGCCACCACACGGTTCATTCTGTGCGACCCAAGCGCCAGACTTCTACAGACCTTCCCATCTTCCTGCCTCCCAGCTGTCTCTGTCTTGGCTTACATACTGGTAGAAGAACCAGAAATGGCAGTCTGCTCACTGTGGCTTCGCTCCCAGCTCTGCCATTAGCCAGCAGCTTTCCCTTCTCAGACCTAGGTTTCCTCATCTGAGAGGAAGAGAACTTGGCTCTGGGCCAGCCCTAAGATGCCTTGTGCTCTGTGTCCAGGACTCGGCCCAACACCAGCCTAGAAGGGTCATCTGCTGCCCATACCGTTGTCCCTTGGAACTTCCATTCACAAGAGGTGACTCTCAGACCCTACAGCTCCGAGGATGCCCAGTCTGTTCGTTATTCTTCTAGAAATCGAGCTTGAAGCTTTGGGTGAGATTTGGGTTCAAAACCCCAGAGTCAGAAAAAACAATCTCCTTATCATTGAATACGAATTCAAGAACCGCAGCCCTTCCCAGGGTAGGTAGATCCTATTTCCTGTTTGTTCAGCCTGTGACCTGATGTTTATCTTCTGTTCAGTCATGGCAGGTTGACATTCCTTTTCTTTGTTCTCTTCAGATGACCCCGGGAGAGCCTCTTGTGCTATTTCTTATCTCTGTTCTCTTTCTGTAGAAAAAGATGAGCCATCGTGTGCCATTACACCCAGCTTGTCCAGTAAGTTCACCCTTCTGCTGCTTATACTCATCCTTTGTTTTCACTCCTATATCTTACACAAAAGCCAGAGGATGATTTCGAGATGGTCTTAGCTTTACAGCTAGAATAGCTAAATGTGGTCAGACGATTTAGAGACCTGTCTGTCAGCCGCTGCAATGATTTGTTACAGGTTGGCAAGTAAGGAGAAGTCTTTAAAAATATATGTATTGTTTTAAAATGTTTATGTGTATGAGTGCCCTACCTGAATACACATATGTGTGTGCACCACATGCCTGAAGAGACCAGAGACAACACTGGACCCCCTGCACCTATGTGAGCTATCTTGTTGGTGTTGAAAACTGAACTCAGGTCCTCTTCAAAAGCAGCAGATGCTTTTAACTACTGCACCACCTCTCCAGCCCCAAGAGAAGTCTTTTGAGGCCACATACAGAATTGAAATATGAGAGACAAAGCTGGAGCAGTATTATTCAAGCAAAGCAGAGTTTGTGGTGCCATGGATACATCCTCTGCCTCCTCCTCTTCCGCTGGATCCAGGACAGGCAGTGGTGCTTGGTAGATGACTTTCTAGAAGGGCTACAGTACAGCCCTGCCTGTTGAGCCAATCACAGGCCCCCATGTGAGTGGATGGATTGGAGCTTCAGCAAGGAGGCTCCTGATGGAAAGATATGCTCTCTCTATGCCTGAGTGTGGGTGAGAGTGAGGCTGGGAACCAATGTGGAAGTCTGGGATTTCACACTCATCAAAAGGCAAACTCAAGATGGACACCATATCCCACTTGGCTCCGCTGGTACCTGTTCCCGCCCTGTGCCGTTCAGCTTCCCTCCCAAACTGCCAGTCTCCCTGCGCCTTGGACCTCATGGAACCGGCACATGGACTGCTGACCCTCAGCTCCTCTAAGGCCCTTTGCTGGCCCCGCTTAATGCTGCTTTGTTTTTTCACTTGGAAGTCGTCTGGACTCTATTAAAAAATAGTGTTTGTAAGGACGGAATGCCTTGTCATGTTTCCTCTCACATTTGGGGAGTTTGAGACTCAAGATCCAGGCTGGTTGGGTGAGGTCTTAAAGAGTTCGCCTCGTGAGCCATGGATGTCAAGAGGCTGGTCAGAACGGAAGGGTGCCACTCTGCCCTTCCTCACTGTGATGTAACTTTCTGCACAAATCCCAGTTCAAGGCTCCTGGTTTTCATCGTTGGAGAGACATCTAGAGGTGAGCTTTGGCTACATGTACACTCGTTAAGGCATTTAAAAATCCATGTAAAGAAACTCAAGGTTGAGAGTGAGACTGAGCATGTGTGTAGGACATCTGAGACCTCAAGCAGCAAGGAGAGACCATTCCCAGCAGGCCCTTGCTGGTCCAACAAGGTATTCACAAGAGGGGCTGGAGAGGCAGGAGCCCTGGGTCTCACTGGCAGTCAGCCTAGCTGAATCAGTGAGTTACAAGTTAGAGAGAGACCCTGTCTCAAATATTAAATAGATAGGTGATAGACAGGTAGGTAGGTAGATAGATAGATAGATAGATAGATAGATAGATAGATAGATAGATAGATAAATGATGGATGGATGGATGGATAGATGGATGATGGATGACACAATGGAGGTAGACCTCTGACCTCCATGCAAGCACACACAGATATGACCAAGTACCCATGTCCACATATGAACATATGTACACATACACACACAGAGGCAGGTGAATCAAGAGATGGAGGCTGGAGTGGACTACATAGTGAGACCCTATCTAATGCCCTTTCCCCAAAATTAATGACCTTAGAACATATTAGAGGCCTGAGGAGATGGCGCAGGGGCTCAGAGCACATGTTCTTCTCACAGAGGACCAGGGTTTGGTTCCCAGCACCCATATCAGGATGCTCATAACTGCCCTGTAACCCCAGCTCCAGAGGATCCAGTGCTCTCTTCTGGTCTCTGCAAACACCAGGGATGCACATGTATATATCCACACAAAACATTCAGACACATAGAGTAAAAATAAAGAAATCTTTTTTTAAAAAGGGATATATTAGATTAGGTGCAATAAACTAGTCACAAAGGATAAATGCTGGATTGAAGAAGCTTCTAGAACTGGAGAGTAGAATGGTGGTTGCCAGGGGCTGGGTGACCAAAATGAGGGTGAGTCATTAGTGAGTGTGGTACTTAATTGAGAAGGTGAAGAAGTTCTGAAGAGGATGTCAGTGATGCTCCACAATAGCACAAGTATGTGACATGCCACCAGGCTGTCTGACAAAACGTGACAGAAGTTGTCAATTTTGTTTCATTTATTTCTACATTATTGTTTAAATTGCATATGCTAACCAGACACTTTATGATTGTCTTAGATAGTGTTCTATTGCTGTGAAGAGACACCATGACCACAACAACTCTTTTAAAGGAAAGGCATTTAATTTAGGCTGGCTCACTTACAGTTCAGAGGTTTAGTCCATTGTCATCATGGTGAGAAGTATGACAGCATGCAGGCAGACACGGTGCTGGAAAAGGAGCTGAGAGCTCTACCTATGGATCTGGAGGCAGCAGGAAGGGAGAGAGTCTTTTTGAAACTTCAAAGTCCACCCTCAGTGACACACTTCCTCCAACAAGGCCATTTCTACTCTAACAAGACCACACCTCTCAATCCCTCCTAAGTAGTGCTACTCTCTGAAGAACATTCTAATATATGAGGCCATGGGGGTCTTCTTATCCAAACCACCAGTGATTAATATAAATTTACAAATATATATATGCATGTATGTATGCTCCACAATTTGCAAATGGAACAGCCCAAGGAAGCGATTTAGTGCCCTTATACTTCCATTTTCTGGTTTTATCATCTTGGATGTCTGCTAGTATTACGGAATTGTTTTAAAACTAAATGAACGTATAAATATAATATGCTTAGGATAGTCCTTGGGACAGTAAGTGCTTAAAGAATACTATTGTTGTTTTTTATAAAATAGAAAATTGCACCGGGCGGTGGTGGCGCATGCCTTTAATTCCAGCACTCGGGAGGCAGAGGCAGGCGGATCTTTGTGAGTTTGAGGCCAGCCTGGTCTACAGAGCGAGATCCAGGAAAGGCACAAAGCTACACAGAGAAACCCTGTCTTGAAAAAACCAAAAAAAAAAAAAAAAAAAAAAAAGAAAGAAAGAAAGAAAAGCAAATTGCTGAAATCTGTGTCTCTAATACCATCCCATGCATATTTTATGGAGAGAATCTATCTGTGGGTGTGTACATGCCTCAGTATTCTCACTCACACATGCATCATGCATGTAGCAGATGGCTTCTGCATTCCAGACATCGTGCTGAGGACCGGGCAGCCAGCAGCCTGGCACTTAGGACAATGTTCTTGATGGGATGCTCCAAAAGAGAGGTCACAGGAAACCTCTGTGAGTAGATACTGATTCTGAATAGGATGTAACAATACGCAGAAAGAGCCTGCCATACAAAGGCACGGGAATTCCCAGTGGAAGCAGCAAGGGGGTGAGAGAGAAGGCTGGAATATACACAGATAATCTCGAAAAATGGGAAATACACACTGACAATCTCGAAAAATGGGAAATACACACAGACAGTCTAGAAAAATGGGAAAGAAACTGTCTTGGTTTTATTAGCGATGGTGCCCAGGTAAGGGGCTAGGAACATAGAGTGG